CCCCCCCCCCCCCACTATCGCCACGCCTTCCTTGTGGCATGTTCTGTTGGCCTTGTCGTTCTCTTCCCATTCTGCGCGTTTTCCAGGGCAAGTACGAAGACGCTCTGCCGATGCTCAAACGTGCCCTGGACATCCTCGAGAGTGTGAGACGGGTTGCCTTTCAGGAGTATTTTGCTTGATATTTCGCCTTCAGTTGTCTCGCCCCCCCCCTTCCCCCCCTTTGTTTTTCACGCGATTTTTTTTTTGTTTGTCGTAGAACATGTTGTTATGAGACGTCCCCTGTGATTGGACGCGTTTCCCGGTTGCTGTTTCTTATATCCACCGGTGTAGCTTCGTGGGCAGCAGGCAGGCGATATTTGGGTGAGTTACTTTGTCTGCACACGCCTCCTTTCAGTAGGAGCTCCCAACCCTGAGTTTTCGCACCGGGACTAGGCTGGAGAACCCTCGAAGACGCTCCTTCTTTTTTTTTTTCCTCGCGTAACGTGTGCAACCTGCCGGATGTGTGACACGCTTCCCTGACGGATGTCGTTTATTTTTGTCGTTTGACTTATACGGAGTATGAAGCATTTGTTGCTTTTTGGTTTTCTCGGATGTAGCTTCATGGGAAGCGTCTTGTTGCATGCCACTGCTGTAAAGCTTGCGATTCACGAGCTTCATACGTACCATCACGTGCTTGAGTCTAATTCTTCTTTGTTGGTCTCACGAAAACACGTCTTTTTCTTTTTTTTTTCTGTTACGTCTTGTTCATGGTGACAGGAGTATGGACGTGTCCACCCTGAGACCGTGGCCTGCTTGTCGTGGATCGCGGAGACACACCAGAAGCAGAAGCAGTACCAAGACGCCGAGCGTATCCTGATCGAGGTGCGTGCGTGTGCAACAAATCTCGGCGTTGTCATGTAGGGGTTGGTTGATGTTTTCAATTAGAGTTTGTTATTTTGGCGTTGGGGGGGTCTGGCATGAAGAGAGATTTTTTTTTTTTTTATTGGTCTCTTCGACGAGATGTGAGACGCTCTTTTAAGCCTGATTGGTCTTACGTGAGGCGTGACAACTCTGTTCGGGTTGATTGGTCTTACACGAGGGGCGATGGGCTACGCTCTCTGCTCTTGATCGGTCTTTTGTACGACGTGTAATGAGCTCCTTTGACGTTAGTTGGTATTTTGCTCGAGATATGAGAAGCTTTGTTAAATGCTGATTCGTCGTACACAAGGGGCGACAAGCCTCTCTCGTATCGGATGATCTTACACAAGGCCGAGATAGGCTGCCTTAAGTTTTTTGGTCGGTCCTACACGAGGCGAGATAAGTTCGTGGCCCGCTGGAGTTACTGTTTGCGCTACAATTGAGCTCACGATTATTTCGGGGGGATGCAACCACGGAACAGCCCGCCCTGATCCAGTTCACGACAAAATGATGTCATTTCTTTGTCCTGTTTTTTCCGTCGTCGTTTCTTGTCAGGTGGTCGAACTGAACCGCCAGATCCTGGGGGACGGCAAGCCGGGCGTAGCAGACTCCCTGACAGACCTTGGGGAGCTGCGGCGCGCCCAGGGCAACCTGGCAGCGGTGAGGGAAAAAAACAAAATGGGTGATGTATACACACCGAAGCTGGTTGCGACGATTCTACCCTCCCACTCCCCAATAGCATTTTGCTGCCCGCGTCCAAGTGGATACAGTACGGTCCGGTGCGCGCCTGGCAGCTACGCTTCGGGTGGAAACCCTGCACGGCTGCTGTTGGCTGCATCTGGGTGTATTGTTTTGCGTCTTCGAGCTTCGTTTTCTGATTTTTGGGCTGGTTTTCTGAGTAACGCATGCGTGCGCCAGCTGTGTGGATGCAATCTTGGGTCTTTCTTTGGTTCTGTATTTTATGTTGTTGTGCGTTTATGAGAGCTTCGACTTTCTCCGAAAGCCAATCCATGATTGGTCAACGCCCCCGCCATTACTTCCGAGGTTTCCACCAGTTCTTGTGGCGTTTTTTTTTTTTCACAGGCGGAGCAGAATCACCTGGAGGCCCTACAAATCCGAATTGGCGTCTTTGGAGAGAACCACGAGTCCGTGGCCCACAGCATGCAGCTGCTGTCGCTGCTCCTGCAGAGCGCGGGTGAGAGTTAGAACTCTCTGTTGGATGCCGTTTCTGGTAGGCAAGAAACCCATGAGATATTTGTGGTACGTGTTTCCCGTAGCTCCCCTCCTCGAGACGTTTAACGGATGGATCGGGTCTTTCCAACCCGGGATCAAACCGTAAGGCGTAAGGTCCATAGGCCCTCGCCTTCGTTCGTTGTGAAAATTACGAGCTGCGGCTCGCGAGGCTCTCGTCGTTTTCCTTCCTCATTGCTGGTACGCGATGTCGATACTGTACGCCAGGGAGGGAAGACGAGGCCCGCGAGTACGGGAGAAAGGTCGTGTCCATCACGGAAAATGTGCACAACTCCGGTGGAAGGCCTTCCAGCACGCGATCTCCTGGGGCGCACGCTGGGTCCGCGGAGGGACACGTGACGGTGCGACGACCATCTGTGCTTTGTTTATGTTCTGCTTGTGGCCGTTTGTACTTTCTGTGTCGCTGTTGGCTTATGGGGTCGTTGCACGCTCTTGATTATTTCGGCGTGCTTTTGTTCTGAATTCCCCGTGCTTCCTGTTTTACTTACAAGTGTTGCTCTTGTTATACTGTCACTGACGCTGTTCACACTACACACCCGTGTGCCTCTTGTTCAGGGCCATCCTGTTATTTTGTGTAGTACTCTGAAAGGCAGGCGACACATGTTCCTGTGGTCACGCAAGCTATTCAGCCAACTTTTGTTTCCAGCGTTTGTTGGAGAACAATCCCGAGAAGTTTCCCCCTCTCCGGGCGACGGATTTTTGTGTTTTCAGCTTTCTAGAACAACCGGAAAGTCCATGGGAACGAAAAAAAGAATCAGGCGCTCTTGCCTTTTGGCCACCTCGATTGTTGGTTTGTGAGTTGGCACATCTTTCCTTTACCCCCCTTTCGGCATGTCTTTTGTCTATTTCGGCCGTCATCCCGTCGTTGGCTTGTGGTTCTCTCGACTGAGTTCTCTCTCTTCCCCCCCGTCCCCGTCCCCGCCTCCGCCCCCCGCGTACATTCTCCGTTCACTGCAGGGCGAGCAAGCCCGCCGAGATCACGCCAAGGTTGCCGTCGAGAAGAGCCTTACGTGCTTGACAGGGCGGTAGGCGACAGGCAGATGACCCTGTCGGCCGATCTTCCTCTGGAGCGACAGAGTCAACGTACCATGTGGGGCCTAAGCAGTGTTTGGTTTGACGGCGTCTCATACCCACTCTGTCGGAACGTTTACGGGTCATCAGGACACAAGCTCAAACACCGCACTGGTCCCTACATTTCCGAATAGAGTGGAGCCTCGGTTGGCAATGGCCTGGGGTCTCGAGGCGCATGGATGGACGTGTATTGAGTGGTTCAGCCGCAGCTATCTTTGAGCTGCTGCTGCGGCTGCTGCGGCTGCTTGCTTGGGCGTAGCCGGCTGGCCAGGCTTGTTGGGTGAACAGATGCGTGCACGTGGAAGGTCCCGGCGCTAATTCGTCCACCGAGGCTCGAGTGTGGGTATACGGGTAACCACGGCGCGGTGGGTCGGCTGTAAATTGCACCGCGGCGATAGAGAAGCGGGGATCTCACTGCTGCGTCTCCGACGCGCGTTGGGACTAAAACTCGACAACCCACGGGCTGGTCTTGTGGGGCATGGCAAGCTTGGCGGACTTAATCTCGCGGGCGGCTGGGAACTTCACACAAATTGTACTTATACTGCTATTTTTCTATTTTTTTTTCGTCTAACGGTCGACATGTACCTAATTGTCGAGGATCAGGCACGCTGCCGATTTTTTTCTTTGGCTGGTATTTTGCGTTTTGCGTTGTTGTTTGCTCCTGGCACCACGCTGGGTAGGTGAAAGGATTGGATGCGATCTTGTTTTGTCAGGGTCTGTTTTCGGTTCGTGATTCGAACGGACCAGCTCGCAAGAGTTCGAATGTGGCGTTTTTTCACATGTCCGAATTCGTGGTACGTTCTTTAGGAGGGAAATTTGTGAGCAATAATCTCCTCTTGGCTCCCTCAAGTTTCCAACGCGCATATGAACGGACTGGCCTCTTTCTCTTGATTACCACTGATAAATCGCTTGTGGTTCGAGGATAACGGTAGGCACAACACAATACATACATCGCGAAGATGTAGCTTTGCGCGTTGTTTGGCATGTGCTTCAGCTGTTTTTCGGATGCACCTGTTGGATTCGTCGCACGTGCCTGTCCTCGCCGGCGCAGCAGCTGTGGATGCAGCGTCGGTTCGTCCGTGGAACTGTCGCCATTGCTGCAACCAGACAATCGACGGTGGTGTTTTGTTTGGCCTTGTCGTCTTCGTCATTCCGAGGACGACAGGATCCTCAAGTCATTGTCTCTTCATACAACCCCGTCCAGGCAGTTGACTGCGGGCGTAACCAGTCATGTAGAATCTCGTGCCAATGTGTGTTTTGGAGCCTTACCGGTATACGTGCGGGACACAACATTTTTTTTGCTCTCTCCAGGGGTTATATTTCGGGAGTGAGGGGGGGCATTCCAGTAGAAGGAATCATGTTGGTTAGCGCCTCTGGAGGACTGGTTGCTTTCGGGATGCGTTTCGGGAGATCTCGGGCACGGTTCGAGGGATACATTTTCGTTTTTTGATTTGCAGAGTTCGGAACATGTCTGTCGGCGTTCGGAGCAAGGAAAGCGAGCTGCAATGGCAGCGCGAAACAAGAAGTTTTGGTGAGGTCAAGCGTGGACGTTGGCGGCTTCCGGGAAGGTGTTGTTTGCTACGCGTTATGGTTTCGGACAGCTTATTGTTTGTGTGGGCGTTGTAACTTCGTACCTGCGTTCGTTTTTTCCGACCAGCTATAAATACCGTGGGTGTGAATCATTCAACAGACACGAACGGAGCCATCTACACTACCCCGGTTGGGTCGTCTTGCTGGTAGAAGTGGAGGATAGGGGCCAGAGGGGCAGACGACAGAGTCCAATGATGGGAGAAAAACAAACAAAAAATAACGTCCTCTTCCCACATGAATCGATTCCTAGGCGCATGAATCATCACAGGATAGGCGACAACCCCGAATAGATCGTGTGTCGTTTTTCTCTGTCGGCTACCTCGCACCTTGCCGTTTGGACTACGTATACGATGGAAGAATTGGAATGAATCGTCGCGCAAATATATCGAGCCGCACGAACTCGCGCATCGTGTCACCCAACCAGGGGGCAGTACCGAGTGAATCGTGGGTCACAACTTTGGTATTAGACAGGGTTCCAATTCCCGCCTTGCACACACAAGGACACGGCGGAAAAAAATAGGAAGAAAGCTATTCAATTCCCGCTTAGCACACACAAGGACACGGCGGAGAAAAAATAGGAAGAAAGCCTTCCCTCCTGTTCTTGCGCGACACAGGCTGCCTCCACACTAACCTGAAACGCACACGATGTGGCGAGAAAAAAACCGCCCAGCAGAACAACCGTGAGGTGAACATGGTGTAACTGTAGTCTACAGCAGTCGTCCCCACGTGCTGCTCAATACTGCTGAAGCACACCTCATCTGACCTTTAGAACTAACCACCTGCATCTCGGTCAGCTTTTCAACTTCGGGACGACGCCAAAACAGTAAAAATACGCATATGCACACTTGTGCAGCCAACAAACAGCAGTAGTCTAGTGCCTTATGTTTATTATGTAATGAAGTGTGAAAAATGCATACATACCTGGTCGGTATTCTTCCACTCACTGAAAAGACTCCACCGTATCCCGTTCGAATGTGGGTATGTATATCTCGAACGGGTAGTCTTTCTTTGTATATTTATTTTTCCTAATACAGTACCTCATGCTGCAGTCCTGCAGGCTCAGATCCATGATTGAAAAAACAAAAATAATTTCGCGCCGAGCGCAAAAAAAATGGAGAGGCAACAACATGTTCGCACGATTGAGAGCGAAGTATCTGATTGAGAGCGAGATCGTGCGATACGATGTAACTTGTCTACTGCTGAGAGGTAAAGCTTGCTGTGCGGCTTGAATTGAAGGGCTTGCCCATAGCTACAAGCCGATACCCGGGTCATCCTGCGGGTGTCTCGCGTTGTGGAGCTACACCGCGGAGCAGAAGCTACGGGAGGGCCTACCGCGCCAGGCGACGGCGCCCTGAAACAGTTTCGGGCAGGAATAGCCAATCTGGGGAAATCTAGCAACGTGCGTAGCTCCTCGCTGCTGCAGCCGATCGCAGTGACACGCATTTGCACGCGAAGCTGCTGAAGAGATAGGCCTGTCCTCCATCGGCCGTTTTATTTTCGATTTAGATACACAAACTTTATTTCTATACTAATTTCAAGTAATTCCACCTTCTTATTCTCCGTCATACAAGCAAAACGGCCGATGGAGGACAGGCCTATGAAGAGAGCTTCAATTTGCGCCGCTTTTTGGAAGAGCCCGTCCCCTGCTTCCCGAGAAATGACGGGAGGCGTCTGGACCCGAATTTCGATTTTTTTTGGTTCTCGCTCTCAATCGGAAACGTCGCTCTCAATCGTGCGAAAACCCTGTTAGGCATGTTCCCTAGCTAGGTACGCTTATTTGCAGTGTCTGCTTTGTCACGTTTGCCTTCCTTGCTCTGCACGATGATGCTCGACTGGATCGCGTTTTTTCGCGTAATAACTCTGCGATTGCATTCCTTTTCTTGACAAAAATTTCAGTTTCAAATGTGTCCTAATAATATAGAGGCAAACACAAACGGTTTGGAGAATGTCGGCAGCAGCTGAACCATCAAGCACGCAGCTGAACAATGCACTACTGTAGCGCACATCCAATTACTAGTAGCGATGAAAGTTTCTCTCTTAGAGGAAGACCTCTACTCATCCAACAAACTACAGCAGAAAAGCATTTGATGAAAAAAGCTAAGTAGACGTACGTGACGTCTAATGCCGCCCCCGATTTCAAGCAAGATGATGTTAAGGAGGACCCGATTCGCTGGGTACCCGTCACTCTTACCTGAATCGGTACACCTTCTTCGCATGTAGCGTCAGCTGGATACTGGTTCGAATCTCCTTGTGTGCACACTTTTTCTCCGAACTTGTACATTTTCCCATGGACACAATATATGTGTGTCAGCCCTGAGTACACCTCTTGGAGGAGTCGATCCTACAAAGAACCTTGTGACACTTCCATCGACTTACTCATCCTGGCAACAAACAAGAGGTTCCCAGTTGAGGGTGAATTCTGTGAGTGGAGAGTGTTAAGGAGGATCCGATTCGCAGAGAGTATCCGTCGATTGCCTTGTACCTGAATCGGTACACCTTCGCAATCAGGAGTCATCGTGTTGTGCATTTGTCACACAACCGCACCAGACTTGAAAGTTTTCCTGTCCTTCATTCGTCACATCGGTAACCTTCGACCGGTATATTGCAAGGGAAACGCCACCCCTTCTCGCACAGGGGAGATTGCGCCCCCGCCTTCCCGCCTTGCTGTTTGCGGTGGCCCCACGTATTATTGCACTTCTGGTGGCCCCACGTATTGAACTTCTGGGGGGGGGCTCGAGGTGCGCCTTTCGCCTCTTTCTCCTCGGTTCGGGGCTAGGCTCTCTATCTCTGCCGCCCAACATCGACCATATCTCCATCACTGTTTACATGTTCAAGTGCACAACCCCGTCCATTACAAGCAAGCGCCCTCCCCTGCCCCGGAACGGCCTCGTGGAACAGCCGGGGATAATATTCTACCGACCAAACTGCTAGCGTATCCCACGCCCCCTCCAGGCTCCCGCACACTAAATCGCAACTAACTCAGACTGCGGTTGACAAACAGGAAACGTCGTGTTCGTAACGATGTCGCGTTGTCTCCATATTTCCAAGTACGCCTGCAGTTGTTTGAAAGTTTCCAATAACGGTTTCCCACTCCGCCGGGCCGGACTCCAGTTTACAGTGCTCCTTCCACGTCACTGCCCCCTAGTGCTTGTGGATCTCCCCACCCAATCGGCGGGCAAAAACAGTTTGAGGCTGAAATCGCTGGTAAGTTGCCGCATCCCACTCCACCCCCACGAAATTCGTCTGCAACAAGATCAGTGTAACAACATAGCGGAGCATGTTCATTGGCGGCAACGAAAGCATGCCAGGCTTGAATATATGTGCAAGACAATCGGTAAGAAACTTCACAAGAGACTCAAAGATGTGTTCAACTTCACGACAGGCAGCCGGCGCAACTCAACATCATTTCGTACACATGAAAACGATTCGAAGACGGGGCGGGAAAAGCAATAGACAACCGTCATTTTGAGTTCATTCGTCCGGTCGTGGACCGATACAGTTGCCATGGCTTCGAATAATCGAAAGAAGAACTAAGAACGCGCAGAAGACCGTGGAGGGACATATGGCGGGCGTTCCGTTGTAGGTGAGACAATCAATATCGAAGATACGAATCAAGCTAAATAAAGATAATTCTGAACCAGTTGATTTGATTCTTGATTTTTGTTGCTTGGGAATGCGATACAGTGGGGCCCCCGGTTTAGCGACCCCTAGTGTCACGACGAAATATGGTCGTTATTCAGCGCATGTCGCTAAAAAACCGGGACCCTCAAAAGCAACAAGCAGTCGCTTAACCGGGAAATAGCGCCATTTCGTCGAACTAACGATGCCTTGCTGCAGAAATATTCTTGATCGGGTAATGTATGCGTCGTATTGCAGCAGTCACATGAAGGTAGAGGAAAGGAGAAGCACCTTAGGGTGGACAACCGGGGAGTAGTTCCTCTACGGTATTCATTCTAGTCAACCAGCAAGCTTGTTGTTGCACCCTCCGAAGTTTGTAGGAAATGTCTCAACAACAAGTGTACAGAGGGTGCCCTTTGTCTTTAATGGTCGCGCATGCAGAATGATCTGTCCCTACATATATATATATATTCATAATCTGTCCACACACAAACCTCCCCCATGCTGCCCCCTCACGGGGTCCCAGTTCATGGTAGATAGAAGTGTTTTGTGTTTTCAACCGCACTAAGACTGACGTCTTTTCATTGGTCAGCCGGTTAGCGCGGTCGATGCTAATAATAAAAACACACACAAGTCACACATGGCGGCCTCGTCACGACCCTCACGGGCGGGCAGGCTAAGAACACATGGGTGGCACCATCTATCTCACAGCCTACATCTGGCAGACAGTGCCTTCGACCCTTCGACGGCGGTGGTATCTCCTTCTCTCACGGAATCACAAATCTTTTGTTTGGACAACCGGCGTATAAAAAAACCTGGATTTCCTGCTACTACTACTACACAGCAGTACAGTACTACTGCGGCGGCTGCGGATACTGGATTCCTGGACGTGTTCACCTGAAGGAAAAAGCCAAGAGAACCTGCGATCAGGACTTGGCTCCCTCGTGACTTCCTAGTGGCTTGCTAGGTTCGGACGAGGGCATGTGTGGAGCTATGGCAGTGTATGCATTGCTGTTTTGTTTGATTCTTCTAGCTGCTGACACGATGACTGTTGTTGGATCTTGGGAGTGTACGATACAATTGTAATCAAATTGGGAGACAGATGCAGCATTCCACGATATCCTGGCTTCGGCTGGGCTTGAAATAACCCTTTTTTTGCTGTCCTCCGCTCTTTGCATCAGTGGCTTCCTAGGTTCGAGCGAGGGCATTTGTGTAGCTGAGATGTGTGTCTACGTGAAAGAACATGTGGAGAGAGTCGTATTGGCATTCGCATCAAGCGCATTGCGCATTTTTCGAATTTTGGCCCCCTTCCAGGGACCTTGATTTTTACCCGCTGGCACTGACGACGTCTTTTAATTGGTCAGCCGGTTAGCGCGGTCGATGCTAATAATAAACGGCACGGCTATTTGGGACAACGTTGTCCCAAATTTTTATTTGGGAAAACACGTCTAACTCGGCGTAGAAAGCTCGGATCGACCTCAAACCA